ACATGTGGTGAGAACTTTTCTTAATTAAAATATTATAATTAATTAAAAAACTCTCCAATCAACTAGTGACACGTGTCACAAGTGAAATGTGTCATAATATTATGTCGACATTTGTCATTTCCTAATTGGATGATTAATTTTTTGAATTAAATTAAAACTAAGATTAATTTGGTAGAATATGTAAGTAACGAGGACTAAATGTATAATTATGCCAATTGTATTAACTACTACGTCAACATCTCCATCAAATATTAACGACTAGTGGCTTGATTGATAACAATTATATAGTTAGGTGGTCTGGTTGACAAAATTGAAAGATCAGTGGTAAAAGTAAAAGGACTAAATAGTTAAGTGGTCAATGGTATAGATTACCCATAATTTTATTAAAATAGTAACTAAATTGATAGAATGTGTAAATATTAAGGACCAAATATATAATTTTGTCAATTTTATTACCTGCCACGTCATCAATTCCGTTAAAAATTTATGGTTAGTGGCTTAATTGAAGCATTTAAATAGTTGAGTGGTTTGGTTGATTAAATCAAAAAGTTAGTGATAAAAATAAAAATGGACAATAATTTAGTGGTCACCTGTGTAGTTTACTCTTAATGTTAATTTCAAAAAAAATAATTATTTATTTTATAATGATAAACTATTTAATGATTTTACGTTTTTTTTATTAAACAGAGCAATTAAAAACATTAATTAATAAACATACAACTTTGCATGTCGTGCTGCAGTAGCAGAGCCAAAGCCGAATCTGGCGAGGAGAAAAACTTCGTCTTTTGGAATGGTTGCCCTCTAGTTATAGCCGCCAAATAGTCCGCCACTACATTAGAATGTCGGCCAATATGTCGTATATTCACCACTCATTCCCATTGGAGCAGCTTCATAATCACAATAATTAAAGCATTATTAATTCTACTTGATTCCATGCTGGATAAACAACGCACCACCTCAGTTGAATCTGATTCCAACTCATTCCTACGATGATCAAGTCTCCATGCATGTTGGAGCATATCATATATAGCCCATAACTCGACATTCAAGACCAAACATTTTTCTATACTACGAGAATATCCAAACAACCACTCCCCATGATCGATCGAATAACACCACCCGCAGCGACAAAACCGTCACTGATCCTCATCGCACCATCGATATTTATTTTCACCCAACCTGAAGCTGGCAGATACCAAGCATTCCTCCATGCACGTCATTCGTTTGAGACAGTATTCATCAACATAGGGGCATTAGGGTCTCTAATAATTTTCTCCAACAGCCGCATACTCGTTATAGTGCTCTCTTTCTCTACAAAGTAGGGATCAAACAAGGAATTATTCCTCTTAGTCTATAAATTCCAACATTAAATGGAGAAAAAGGAGGCCAGTTAACTTCATTACAAACAAATTGCTTTGGTTGTTTTAAATTCACATCAAACCAGTCCGTTAGAGGCAAACAAGCAAAAGTAGTTACTCTATTCGGATGGATCAGAGACTTCTTTATACCCATGGCCATAGTGCAGTCTCGTACACATACAAAACATCCTCGGCATGGTGCTTGCAAAAGCCACAATGATCATCAGTACTCATATGCCTCCTCACTCTTTCAACCTTTGTAAGAAGACTCTCTTTCAAAGCCAGCCACACAAAGACACGTATTCTTTGAGGAACTTGCAATTTCCATACGATCTTCCAAAGTTGCATACCTGAATCCTCCCTCTCCACCGTGAGAGCCTTAAACGCAGACTTCACTGAAATACGCTTGGCTTCCCATTTCCATCCCGGTATGTCCTCCCCCAAATGAGTCATTGGTGGTACAACAGCTAGCACTCTTTGAACCAATTCCTCAGGCGTCAGATTGATCAATTCCTCGACATTTCATGCTCCAAAGGCTATCGTATAAGAAGCTACAGCGTCGGCATAGGATATGGCGAACCCAAGAAATAATGCACAAGTGGACCAGTATCGTCAAGTCAATTATCGTACTAGAAATCCACCCGATGGCCATCCAGTATCGACCAAATTCAACCTTTTCGAAACTCATCTTATATTCAAGAAATTCCTGCGCACAACCTCGAACAATTTTGAGTGCCAGGGAAATAGGAAATGTGCCCTCCCATTTATATTTTACTCGTAACGCTCTCACCCAAAGTTTATGCCCATCATGAATTAGCTAAAAACCAAGCTTCATTAGGAAAGCTTGATTATACTTCTCCAAATCTCGAATGCCTAAGCCTCCCATGTCCAATGGCAGTTGTACCTCCTCCCATCGCACTAGGTTGACTCTTCTGTGTTCAACCGAAAACTCCCCAATAAATCCTCGAATTAATTTTTCCAACTCCATACACACCCCTTTCTGTAACCACGTGGCTTGCATGGTATATCCTGGAATTGCCTGTAATACGGATCGTGCAAGAGTGATACGACTAGCAAGCGATATAGTGTTTGTAATCCAAACCGAAAGACGACTTTGGACCTTTTCAATAAGATAGCCGTAGGTAGCTTTGGAGACCCTTTGATGCAACAATGATACTTCGAGATATTTTCCTAAGTTTGCGACCTTCTCAAAACCAAATCCACCCCATGTCGTACAAATTTATCCAAAATTTTTCGGATAACTTCCATCTGATTAATTGTGGCCTCAACAAATAATACAAGATCATCTACAAAGAAAATGTGAGAAATATCCGGGCCATACTTGCATAAATAGATTTCCTTCAATTCCCTTTCTCAATTTGACCATTAATCGCATGCGAGAGTCGCTCCATGCCTATAACAAAGATATATGGGGATAAAGGATCCCCTTGTCTAATACAAAGGGACGGTACAAATTGCTCAATTAAATTACCATTCTAAAGAACCTGTGTTAAAAATTGAGCAGATACAAATCCATAATTTGTCCAAGGAAATCATCCGACAAACCAATGTCTAGTAAAGTATCTCGAATAAAGCCTATTCTAATCTATCATACGCCTTTTCGAGATTTATCTTAATTTTCTTCCAACCCTTATACCCCGACTTCTTGCATATCGAGTGAATAAACTCTTGAGCTAGGATAACATTATCCATAATGCATCCTCCAAGAACAAAGCTCACTTGGGTGTGCGAAACCCATTTTGAAAGTAATGGTTTCAACCTATTCACAATCACCTTAGTCAATTCTTTATAAACCACATTACAAAGACTTGTCGACCTAAAATGTGATAAAGTATCTAGTACATCAACCTTAGGAATAAGGAAAATTACATTCCGATTAATATATACCGAAATCAACTCCCCTCGAAACAATATTGAATGAATCAGATCACAGTTTTACCCACAATATGCCATTCTCACTACAGGAAAATAGAGTTTTAGCGGCGTTTTTTTAGTCCTATAGCGGTGTTTTTAAACGACGCTAAAAGCGCTTGCGGCGATTGGAAAAACGCCGCAAGAAGCGCCGCAAAAAACAGCGCCGCAAAAGTTAGCGGCGTTTGAGAACCAAAAACGCCGCTATAGTTCAAGATCTATAGCGGCGTTTTTGGAACAAACGTCGCAAAAGGTCGATATATATAGCGGCGTTTTTAGAACAAACGCCGCAAAAGGTCAAGATCTCTAGCGGCGTTTATGGAACAAATGCCGCAAAAGGTCGAGATCTATAGCGGCGTTTTTGTAACAAACGTCGCAAAAGGTTAGATATTTAGCGGCGTTTTTGGATACAAATGCCGCAAAAGGTCGAGATCTATAGCGGCGTTTTTGTAACAAACGTCGCAAAAGGTTAGATATTTAGCGGCGTTTTTGGATACAAATGCTGCAAAAGGACAGATCTATAGTGGCGTTTTTGGACACAAAGGCCGCAAAAGGTTAGATATTTAGCGGCGTTTTTGGATACAAACGCTGCAAAAGTACGGATCTATAGCGGCGTTTTTGGACACAAACGCCGCAAAAGGTCAGATCTATAGCGGCGTTTTTGGACACAACGCCGCAAAAGGTAAGATCTATAGCGACGTTTTTGGACACAAACGCCGCAAAAAGTCAGATCTATAATTACCATTCTTTAGCTAAGATTAATTGATATTTAATATTCTATATCATTATCTAATAATAATAAACTTAAAATTTAATTACGACACAAATTATATGCAAAAATAAATCAAATTTATAAAATTAAATTAAAATGTAACATAGTTCAAGATTGTTCACTACAATTTATTCTAGGTTCTTTCTCTTTCAATAGAATAAAAACATTGTTCACTAGAATAAAAAACAATCTTCTAGTGGCAATTTTCCTTTGGGCATGCAACTTCAATTGATTCTCTTCATCAGAAATGTACCTTCAATTCAAACAACAATGAAAACAATGGATTCAGATACAATATATTACAAGAAGATAAACTAGAAGAAAAAGCATGATTCTAAACAATATTACCTCCAAATTTCTTGCCTTCAAACATAAGTTCAAGCTAATGAGAAAAAATGTTAAACATTATCTTCTTTCTAAATAACTATGATACATGGCATATATCCACATATGCAAGCTAGCCAATGCATTCTGGAAGACCCCCATAATCAGATGGCATATGGAAAAAGGAGGAGAAATATAGATTTAACTAACATACATAACACTGTCAACCCTTAATGGGTACAATGCTTCAAACATTCCTAAGCAAAAAATGTTTGTGACACAGGTGTGATGCTTCTGATTTGGCATAGAAATGCTCGTGATAGTTCTATTGCATTTCAAGAATAACACCTAAAATTCAGAACTATGAACAGAGTATGGTTGGCAAGAAGCTGATAGCAAAACAATAGATAATTCAAACAATTAAAAGAAAAAAAGACAATAGCTAATAGACCAAAACTTCATAAAGAAAAAAGCTTCTAAAATAATTAATGATTAAAATCACAAAATGCAGGGAATGATTAAAATCACAAAATGCAGGGAAACAAGATACATTAATATAGTACATGAAAGACAAACATGTTGATTATAACAATATTGATCATAACCATCAGCAATTATTGCAAATACAACAAGAAATAAGATAAAGAGGCCACTTTCCCAGCTGTTAGCAGTAACCTGAAAAAGCCTGATGATTTTGAATGATAAATCTAAAACTCTGAAAAAGCTTTAAAATAGTAGTAGTAACAGTTCAAAACCAATTTATTTTGACTCACCTGCAACACCTTTAAAGTCTGATGATTTTGACTCGCGCTGAACATAGACACAACCAAGACATTTGTTGTAAGAAACAAGCCAAATATCATTCATCACGCCAGTTCAAAACCAATTTATTTCTACTACACAGGAAATATAGAACTGGTAGGAAAGATACAAAACAAAAGAAACATATAACTACCAAGAACTAATTGATGCACACAATACTCTTTCCAAAACTGAAGATTCTTATTCTAATGTAAATGGTTCGCTTGCTAGACATTGTTACAACATAAGATGTGAAGCTTGTAGATTAGGAGAATGAGTGACATAAAAGAAAACTATTGACATAAGTCCCATAACTATATCAAGCTTTAAAAGGCAAAAAAATCAATTATGGCAACCAAACTGCAGACTGTTTTGCACCAAATCACGGGAGAAATTTACGAGGATAAAATTAACTCTCACCCGATAAGACCAATTAAGGGAAGTTTACTCACTGATCTCTTCAGCAATAAAATCCAAGCATTTCAAAGGAAAAAACCAAACAAGATATGTCAGTTAAAACATCAAAAGCTTACATTTTATACCATAATCAACTACTAAAATGAGAAGAGTGGAAAAAACCAGGCCTTTCTTGCTGTTCTGATTGTTTAGTACTCTGTAGAAAAATCATACACAGAAATAGAAATTCAGGAAAATGTTGATCAAGCAATTACTTCTTGTGTTTAACTAAAGTCTGTCAGTTATCATAACTAAATGCATATGAATAATCTTAAAAGATGCCAAATTGGAATACTAAAAATGTTGAAGAAGTAAAATTCTACCTCGGTTTTTGAACTTTCTTGGGTATTTGCTGAATCCTTATGAGTTTCATTAATCCAATAAAATCCTACCGTAAAAAGCAGCAACCTAGAAAGAAACGACCCGACTGGACTATCACGGCTCGCCTACACCCAGCCAAATGTGCAAAATCTTCCTGCTCATCCTCCAGATTCGGGGTCGAGAATAGCATAAAAATTCTACAAATCAAGTAATACACGACCAAAATAGTCATTACCAAAATGAGACGTATAGGGAGAAGCGTGACGAGGGCGATGCCCAGCAGGAGTTTCTCTTTCAATGGCAGCTTTCCACATCCCATTGAATCGTACACGTCATTGCGCACGAAGGCTGCGAATTTCTTCTCGAGCTCCTGGATACCTTCGGCGGCGGATTCAAGGAGAGGGAGGTCGTCTTTGGAAGAGGCATCGTCGTCGTTGGGGTCAGATTCTCCGGTATTGGCCGGTTTTGAAGTAATGCCATTGAGTTTGGCATTGGGGCTGCGAAAGAGACGATTTCAACCCTGTAGACCTTCTTGTTCATCTCCGTACGATGGTGGTATCCATTCTGACCTGCCCTGGAAACTGTAAAGGAGACTCTAGCAGGATGCCAGGCACCAATACAAGCAACCTTACGCAGACCTCTGTGGGTTTTGCGGGGAAGACGTGTGACACCCCAACGAGTGACAACGCCTTCGTAACCTTTACCCTTTGTGACACCAATGATATCAATCATTTCATCCTTCTGGAAAACATCATCAATGGGGACTTGCTTCTCAAAGAACTTGTAGGCAAAATCAACCTTGTCGGCAATAGTTCCACCATTAACTTGGATCTCCATTAGGTGTGCCTTCTTCTGCTTCAATCCCTTCATTTTCCTAATCTGCAATGTACTTGGTCAGAAAATTGTCCACCTTGAAACATGTTCAATAAAGAATTGCAATATGAAAACCATGAACAAGAAATGAACAATTGAAAAGTGCAGATATAAGAAAACAATATTAAGTCGGAAATTGTTATAACCTGAGTGTGGGCCAAGACCCTAATAACAGTTGCATATTTCTTCATCTTTTCCAACTGAGCCTGGATGCTCTTCTTCCCATCTTCACTTTCATATTGCTTTGAGTACTTGACAAAAGCCTTCTTCTTGGACTTGCACCAGTGTTTGTAGAACCGACGTTTGACTTCCTCGCTCAGATGCTGAGCCCAGACGGTGTTCAAGGATCGGAGGCCCCGTGGTGTCTTTACATATCCAACAACCCCAACAATCACCATAGGAGGGGTTTCAATGATAGTAACAGCCTCACATGTCTCCTTCTTGTGGAGCTCTATACGGAAATAAAGGATACAAAATCAACTAAAATTCCGATAAAATTGAAAGATGAATAGACCATTATATAAATGTAATTCAATCAAAGAATCCCAATGCACTTCCAGGTAAAAGAAAACTGCATTTCAAGCAAACAATAAAAATAATTGTGGAGTTACTTGATGAAAACAAACTTACTAGATCCAGGTTTTTCGACCTCTCTGACAATGTGAGTCATACCAGCCTTGTACCCCAAAAAGGCAGTGAGCTTGCAAGGTTTGCTGGGGTCATCCTTTGGGAATGCCTTCACTGCACCAGAAGAAAACAACAGCATCAGATAAGAACACAATAGGTACATATCAGTTTCAAAACTATAATTTCTACAGCTACATCATCATCATACTATTATTGTCAGATAAACAAAAAAAAATGAAAGCGAATACCTTTTCCTCTCTGGCGAGAAGCTCGCTTCCTTGGAAGGAATCCAAGGGAACCATGCCTTGGGTTCTCAAATTTCCTGTGAGACATTCTTCCTCTCCTTCACCCCAAAATAAAAACATAACCAAAAATAAATATAAATGTATAAACAAACCAATGTTCTTCTTATAGATCTATACTCTATATTAAAAAGAGAGAGGGAGAGAGGGAGAGAGAGAGAGAGAGAACAGGAAGTGTTGATTACCTACAACTCAATCAAAGAATTTACAATGTGATAGAAATTCAAGAAAAAATGAGAAGATAGTTTATTTATCTTTAATTTCACACATTTTCTATCGATAAGAAACTAAAAAAGAGAATGAAAGAAAGAGAAGAAGTGAGTTGGGAGTCACCTGTGGTTGCTACTCTTGCTTGCTGGATGCGGCAGCTCTCAATCCCAAGTTGCTGAATCAATAAAACCCTAGTTTCTGTTTCTTATAACATAGGTTAATACCCGCTTTGTTGGGCTTTTCTTCAGTAATTAATTAATTTAAAATTATAATTATCTCAAAATTAATAATAATACACTTTTTAATTATTTATACTCTATATAATTTATAATATATGTATATGTATATGTATATGTATATATTGTTATTGTTATAAAAATAGTTAACTATTTAAAAATATTCAATATATAATATTTTTATATATAAGGAATTATATTACATAAATTTTAAATTCAAAATAATCACTTGATTCAGAAGTATTAACATAAAAAAATTAATTATTACATACGATTTAAAAGTGTTGTTATAAAAAAATTTTAAAAAATAGTTGTTATAATATAAAACATTAATACAAATTTAAACTTGAAATTAGAAATATAGGTACAAATTCAAGTAAAAGTTATTATACTAATATGTAGATATATCAAGATATTCTCAAATACAACTTGTTATTATAAAATTAAAAAACGACATAAATAGGTTACAACCGAAAATCTTATTAAAATCATAATATTTTAACTTGCACACGGTGACATTTTAAATTAAAACAAAATATATTTCTTCTTAACATTTTCGGTTGTAACTGAAAGGATTTTGGCCTCTGGTTCATTTTCTATTAAGGATAAAAGAATAAGAGTGAGAGAGATGTAAGCGGCAGAAAGTTAGAAGGGTAAACATAACAAGGTTTTAGGGTTTCTTTAAAAAAATTAATGGGATTCAAGTGCGTACGTGTTTTGGGGGGTTTAGCCGCAGAAACGGCACTAAAGTACGGGTCTTTGGCGGCGTTTGCATAAAAACGCAACTAAAGTACGGGTCTTTGGCGGCGTTTGTATAAAAACGCCACTAAAGTACAGGTCTTTGGCGGCGTTTGTATAAAAACGTCGCTAAAGTACGAGTCTTTGGCGGCGTTTGTACAAAAACGCCACTAAAGTACGAGCATTTAGCGGCGTTTGTGCTTAAAACGTCACTATAGTACATTATTTAGCGGCGTTTATATAGAAACGCCACTAAAGTACGAGCATTTAGCGGCGTTTGTGCTTAAAACGCCACTATTGTACATTATTTAGCGGCGTTTATACGAAAACGCCACTAAAGTACAGTAGGTAGCGGCGTTTATATACAAACGCCACTAAAACACAAGTATTTACCGGCGTTTGTTCAAAAAACGCCGCTAAAAGTGCCGCTAAAAACCCATTTTGCTGTAGTGTCTTTTATAATAAAAAAAAAAACATAGCGCGCAATACGTCCACTCCAAGAGCTTTAAGTAGGCTCATGTCAAAAATTACTTTCTTCACTTCCTCATCAGGGGACCTCCATAATCAAAGAACGCATTTCAGATACAGATGTAATTGCAAATCTGCCCCTTATAAAACTATGAACCAAGGACGACCTAGCTGATTTGAACAAAGTTTTAAAGAATTCAACAGCTCGAGAACAAAGGATGCTAGGCTCATCACACCAGTGGTCATTATGTAATTTAAGCATACTGTAATTGTTGTGACGTTGTCGGGATAAGGTGGAACGATGGTAAAACTTAGTGTACGGTCCCCATTATCAATCCATTGAGTTCTCGAACGTTGAAACCATAGCATCTCCTCTTGTTTAAGTACGAGGCCAAGTTCCCTTCTTAACTCAATCTCCAAATTCAATAGGAATTGTGAATTTGAAACTTCTAATGCGTGTTCTACTCCACATATTTTACCTTTTATTCATTCTCTTTCAACTTTAAGTTTTTATTTTCTACACGTTTTTAGATCATTTTTAATTTTATTATTCAATGAAATAGGGTTTTTTTTTTTAAATAAATAGGAGTAAATTAGAGCGTATGGCAACGGAGTTTTTTTTATTTAAGTATTACTCAATGAAAAACTAATTACCATTATAACATCCATCGGAGATTATTTATTGAATTGACATTCAATTGATAAAAATGCTTTTTTGCAGAAAGTATTTTACTCGTACATGATAGAGATATTTTGTTTGGATAAAATATATCACGCGTAAAATGTGTTATGAAAAAAGAGCATTTTATATAAAAGTCAATTAAACAAATGTTTTAGTTTTAAAATTTTCAAGGAAATGCTCACGTGCGGCAGTCTTAATGTACGAATAAAAAAATGCTATCGGTTTTATTATATTTTTCTACCAGTTTTGTTATTGTTGGGCATTTTTACCAGAAATGTTAAAAAATTGATGTTTTAGGTAAAATTAATAATATTTTAAGTAGTTTTTTTTTATCAATTTTGTTATTTAGATAATAAAAAACTGGTAGCACCTTATTTTAATATTATATTAAGGTGCCACATTATAGAACTTCTCCTAATTTAGGGATGCAAAAAGCTTACCTTACCGATAAAATTAATTGAAATGGATTTGAGTCAAAATTGTTTGTGACTTAAATGGTGATGATTAGAAATCGGTTCGAGTCTGAACTGATGTTGACCTGAACCTGAGTTGGATCTAGAAATTGTGGATCTAGAAATTGTGGATCTGAACTTGACCCGCACCCGATCTAAGAACGACCTGAATCCGAATTGAACCGATATTATGATGATCAAACCCGACTTGCATCCGACTGATATGAACCTGAACTCGATATTAACCTAGTATTACCCAATATGTTATGAACCTGACTTGTAATTGACTCAACCTATAAATGATTCGACTTGTTATTGAATTGGTACGATATTTACCTAACTTGATATTTACCTGACTTATAAGTTACCATTAATGAAATTATGAGATTTTGAATTTATAATAAACCATTATAATTAATATGATTGCTTTTTAAAAGTTAAACAAATTAGTTATGGTAATTAAATTAATAAATTTTCTTTCTATATTAATTATAATTATTATATTATAAATCTTAATTATAATCATTAAATTATTAATTTCATTAAATAATTTATTTATTGAACATGATTTTATTATATTATATAAAATTAATTTAAATATTTATATGTTTTATTTAATAATTAATTAATAATGTAAATTTAATTCAACTAAAAATTTTAAAATATATATAAAAAATGAATTTACTTAAGATCAAAATTTTGAATAACATAAAATTTATTAGTATTTAATATACTAAAATTACAATAAATTAGACTAAACAAATTTATGTTAAAATTTAAGCTCTCATATCTTATAACAAAAGTTTTATAAGGCTAAAAGTCTTACTTTGCTACCAGAAATTTCTTCATCGAGCTTTTATCTCAAAAGATCTAAATGCTGCCAACATTATTAAATTATGGACAACCTTTCAGCTTTAAAAGCCAAAATTCCACTAACATCATTTAACAAGGGTAACTATTTAGAAAATAATTTACAAGTTACAACAATTTATTTTAGTCAGACCAACAATTTATTTTAGTTAGACCAACAATAATTTACAAGGCAACAATAGGCAACAACAAAAGACATTGCATCAATTCAACAAGTATTATTGCATCAATTCAACATTTTGCATTCAACAAACATTTCCAAATCAAGCAATATCAAGCAGAAACAAGTCATAATCATTCAAAAAACAACTAAACATTATACTTGTTGTAAGACACCCTAAAAAATAGAATCATTAATAAACAATTTGAATGAATTAAATAAATATAATAAATATAAAAAAATAAAGTTCCATTTAAAGGGAAGAAACAAGACATAATCATTCACAAACCAATTCCAATATATTTACTTACTGCAAAACATCCTAAAAAAGTAAAAATAAAATCATTAATAAGCAATTCCAAATATTAGTGAAATTATAATAAAAAAATAAAGTAAATAATATATTTACCTTTAAAGAGAAGAATCATTAAATATAGTAAGATAATGTCCATCTATTCCCTCTGGTTCGAAAGCGTACAACTAATTACAAGTTGTTACAAAATTCTAAACAGTTTTAGGTAAGAGTTTAGCTCTCAACTTGTTCAAAATTCAACCTCCTATACTAAAGGAAGATTTAGATGCAACTGAAGTTATTGGAATGACCAATATACCTCTCGCCATGTGAGAAAATACCGGATAAGAAATACTTTAATTTTTCCAATACCCTAAAATATCAAACTCAATATCTTCAGCACGAGGGACAAGTGGAAAACTAATGTAAGAGTCAACATTTGTTCGTCCACTCCTTGAAGCAATTAAATTGGCATAAAAATTCTGAAAAAAATAAAGAATACAAAATAATTAAATTATGAAAAACAAAACAATATAAATTAAAATGAGTAAAAATTGAATATCAAATTCTAAAAACTAACCTGAAATAGATCAGATTTTTTAAATAATCGAGGTCGATTGGAACTTCACCCACTTATCTCTAAATATATGTTACTTTTGGACAGAAGAAGAAAAACCACAAGGTGTATTTTTTTGAATAAAATATATATAACTTAAGAAATTCATTATAAATGAAACTTACCTCCCGTTGAACCTTGTCCTCTATATAAAGAATATTGTACAACTCCTTCAGAGGTTGTAATTTATATCGAGGATCAAGTAAAACATCAAAAGATAGAATCATTGAATGATCATACCAATATTTCTCATATAGTTCAACCATAGGTCCTGTCATTGTAGAAATGCCTTCACACGGATCATTGTGAGCATCACACAACAAATTTTCAATTGCAACTACGCTAGCCAATTACATGTTAGAAGTGAGATACTTAGATCCAGAGAACAAAGTAATAATTTCAAAAAACGACTCAAAAATATCACAGATTGTTTGAACAGTTTCCCACTCATGATCACTAATAATATCCATCTCATTTCCTCTGTTAACAAACAAATTTATGGCTAATTTAGCCTCAAGTGGCCTATGAATCATTGAGTAAGTAGAATTCTATCGAGTAGGAACATTAAGTATCAACTTACCACAAAAAGAAGAATCACAGTCTTTAACAGTTAATTCAAAGGCACAAAGTTGAGAATCAGAATAATTGATAAACTTAACAATTTACATAATTTAATAATCAAATAATCAAATACCTTCAAACCTTTTTGAACTATCAAGTTCAAAATGTGAGTAGCACTCATTATATGAAAGTACTTATCATTGTAGGGAATAGGAGAAATGGCATTCAAATTATCTCTAAGTCTTTTAACGATTTTATAATTTCTAAAAACATTTTCAAGGGTTATGATAAAAGCTTTTTTTAAGACCTCACTCACATATCATCTTTTTCACAAACTTAAAAATTGATTCACCATCATGTGGTGGAGGAAAATAGTGAAAATTCAATATTTTAGACTAAAGTTTCCAGTTATTATCAACATAATGTGTAGTAAAAGTAAAATAAGAACGTGAAGTACAGGCAGACCATCCATCACATGTAAAACAAGTACGACTTGAAACAAAATGCAGTGAATCAAGTAGCAATTTTTATGTTTTTCATGCTCCAACATGCAATACTTATACCAATATACATTGAAATATCCTTCACATTAGAATTAATGTAATGATGCAAACCCCTAAATTTTTATGCTCAACCACACCAAAGCTTAACCATAACAAAAATAGCCTTAATAAATAATTTACAATATTTGTTTTGATCAAAAGAACTTACCATACTAAGATTTTTGGTAAGATATTCCTTATAAGCTTGATATTTATTAGTAATCCTTTTAGGGTTAGATGTACTAATATAAGAATCAACTATATAACTTTTAATCTTACAATACTTACACTCAGCATAAAAACCACCATCGGCAAATTTGATGAAGGTATAATGCTCCCAAACAGGAGAATTTTTTCTCCCAAACTCATATGAATATGTAGCATTCCTCTTAGAAAAACATTGACATAAACTACTTCAGATAGTTGACCATTTACATCTCCTAACCAAAAAATAGAAAGCAAAAAAATAGTTCATTTACCTCTTTCTGAATGTTGATCATTCTGATATGTTTGTAAGTCTCTTATAAAAGATAGAAAAAATCATTAGCCTTGAAATGACAATTAAAAATTAAAAAATAGCGTTTTACATAGAAAGTTTAACTCGTTATCTAGAAAGTTCAACTCGTAAGATTGACTATCCATCAAACCTTAAAAATGGTTTTGAATAGGGAATAGTCTCTGTTAGAGAATAATAATAATAATAATAAGAAAAAGAAAGGGAAAAATCTCGGTTAAAGTAGAAGAAGAAGAGGACAAGAGTCTCAGTTAGAGAAGATGAAGAATAATATTTGGGTTTTGGGGTTTTGGGAAACAGAAAAAGAATAGAAAGAGTCTCTGGTAATGGAGAAGGGGATGAACAATGTTTGAGATTTTGGATTTTGGGGAACAAAACAAGAACTGGTTAGAGAAGAACACCAAAATGAAGAGTTTAAGTTTGATTTAGGGTTAGGGAAGACGACGAACAATGTTTGGGATTTAGAATTTTGGGGATGAGGGAAAGAATCGAATAGAGAAGAAAGGGAAAAGTCTCAATTAGATTTAGGGTCAAAGAAGGGGATAAAAATATTTGGGATTGTGATTTTAGGAAGAGTAGAGAAGAATAAGAAGGAGAAGAGTGTATGTTAGATTTAGGGTTGAGAAAAAATAATTTGTAGAATTTAGGATTTGGGGGAAGAAAAGAAGAACATAAGATGAACATAAGAAGGGGAAGAATCAATTAGAGAATAAGAAGAAGGGTTTTGGGGATGAACATAAAATGAACAAAGTTTGAGTTTTGGGTTTGATCGAGTGAAACAAGTAAGATGAGTAATTTTTTCGTTTTTGAGAATAAAAAGGGGAAAATAGAAGAACACGTGAAGCAAATATGAGATTTTTGAGTTTTGATATAAACAAATAGGTTAGGTCAATTTTTTGGTTTTTTAATGATTAAATAAGGGTTTTAGAGATAAACAAAATATGACCATAGATGAACATTGTGTGTTTGATCCAAAAAATTCAAATTTTTTTGGGTTTTTGGTGTTTGTAGCTAAGGATTCTAGAGAGAAAATAAAGAATTTAGAGAGAAACGGGTTGTAGAGAGAGATATATATAGCAAAATGATCAAATGAAAAAAAAAATGAAAAACTTTCTAAAAATGGAAAATTTGGTCTATAAATAATAATTAAATTTGGGCCTTTAGGCCCACGTGCGCCTGAAAAAACTTTAATAGGGATTGTAACATTGTCCCAAAGTTTAAAAATTAATGCAATTTAATCCAATATTTTATGAATTTAAGCTTTAAGTTTTCAATTATTTTAATTTGATCCCTACATATTTTTATAATTTATTTAAATTAATTTATTAATTTATACTTTATATATATAATTATACTTTATATATATATATATATATATTGTCATGGATTATACTTCAGGGTCCGAGACTTTGGCACCATTGCTCAGAAAAGGGGTTCTGTGTGTACAAACTTGGTTTGTCACAAGCCAAGCTTACTTCGGCCCAATTCTTGGAAAATGCTTATGAGTCTGCGAAGGATCATTTCTGAGGGTTCTCGGGAGAATCAACGAGGGTGTTACATGTTTGATGGGGGCAAATTTTTCAAGGCTCATGGATTTAAGCTGAGACATGTACGCAAATTTTTATAGAAGAGTCATGTGGAGTGTTAGGCTTGCCCATAACCATCAGACTTGACTCGTACTTTGGAAGGTTTCACAATGGATAGAGTTTTCTTTTAATTTAAGTAGATAAATACTTAATTAAGAGATAATGATGTTTGAATTCAAATTCCTTAAGATAGAGTTTTGATAGGATTGGATTCAATGTAAGTCGTCGATGTACTTTGATCTAGATCGTTGGTTTTTGAGGGCCTCAACTATAAACAGAAAGCTCCTCCCCTCATTTGTAATCGTCCATCAGAAATCTTCTCTTGAGAGAGTAATAAAACTCAAACATTTACTCTTGAATTCTTCAATGTTCCCTTGTAGCCTTTATTTATAGTTTTCTAGCCTTTGTGGCTTTGTTACTTAAGCTTGTTGGCTTGATTTCTCTTAGTGCTTTAGCTTGTGTGGCTTGTGTTGCTGATCATGAAGACCGAGTAGTCTCGAGAGTTCTTTACTTTCTTACAGTTCTTTCAGAGTTCCAAAATGGGTTAAGTCTTTGTGACTTAAAAAGTTTTGACAGTGTTTGTACTTCCCAGAGTTGTTCAACCTTGGTGGCTTGGATTAACCCCATTGGTGTTTAGTTTTCACAATGTTGGTCTAACCTTAATGGTTTAGTGTGTCATTTGGTGAGCCCGAGACTCACAAGGACGTAGTGAAGGCTGACTTAGGCGCTCTTTCAACTTAGAAATCGTCCAAGTTCTACACGAATCTACTAGAAAAAGTCTATCCCTATGAAAATTGGTATCAAAGTGAGTCATTGTGACGAGGCAACAAATGTTCTAGTGTGCTTAATGGGAAGTGATAATAGAGCTTATTTCAAGACAAGTGGTTGGAAAGCATAAGAGCATATCGTAGTGTGTTGGCTATAGTCATTGTGGATTCAGTGATTGTTCTAACTTGTTTGGGGAAAGTGTGATCGATATGGCATAGCAAAGAGATGTTCCCATTGAGAATGTCATAGAGAGCCATTATGATATTTATTGGGTCGTACTAGAAAGGAAAGGAATGGTAGAAGTTGAAAGATCATTGGAGATGCAGATCGGGAACCTTAAAAGCTTCATCGAAGAAGCTGAGGAGGTCCAAGGAGTTTTGGAATAACGTATTTAATAATTAGAAGCCATAAGGGATTGGTTCAAGGCCAAGGTGGAATAAACTCTCAATGATTAGTCATTGTTGGTGATGAGTAATGCACTCAGGGCTGAGGTAGCAACTTTCAAGGAAGCGATAAATGGGCTCAAGAGTGAGCTACTCATGTGTAATGGTGCAATGAATGATTGTGGGGTGTACAAGACCTTCTTGGAATGACTTAGACTAGGGAAGATGCTGGAAGTTAAGCAGAATAATGCCAAGAGTTGTTCAGAAGTTGGAGTTAAGTCACAGTTGGAACTTATAGAAGTCAAGTCAAATAGAAGTGAATCGTGAAGACCCATGCCCAGTGATAGGGATGAAAGTGGGGGAGATCATGATAAGGAACAGTGGATAGATGACAAAGAAAACTTTTCAAGTGACTCAGGAAAGTCATCGAATAATCATAGTTGGAATACGTCATCAGGGAATCATGACAAGACCAAGTCCGCAAGCAAGAATGGTAAACCTTTGAAATGTAACTTCTATGATAGTCCTCATTCAATTATAGGGTGTCCCAAAAAGATTTTCCTTACTGCATTTTTCAAGGGGGAAGATGAGCCAGAAGGAGGAGTAGTCAAAGATGGTGAGATTGTAGTATACAAAGTAATCAAACCAGGAGTAGTGATCGATGTGAATGCAGTGACAAAGTAGGAAAACCAAGGGTAAATAAACACGAGCTAATAAAGTGTTTCCTATGTGAGGAACCACATAAAGCCAATAGTTGTCCAAATAGGATAGAGTTTGACACAAATATAAGTGGCGAAGCATGAAAACCGATGTAAAGAAAGAAGAACCATTGAAGTGTTTTCGTTATCAAGGAGCATACAAAGGGTGAGATTGCACAAATGAAGCAAAGCTCGGTGCGAAAGCGAATGACCAAGCAGGAAAACC